CAGCTGGGGCGGGCCTTAGAAGCGGGCCTCTCACAAAGGGTGTGGCTCGCCTCTAGCACAGCGTGACACTTCTTAGACTGGAGCACACGGGGACCGTGGTTCCTCTTGTTCTCTCTGGCCAAGGCTGCTACTGGGTCGTGAGACGCCCAAGCTGCCCGGTGGAGTGGTCCCAGGGTGGGGACTTCTGCCCACAGCCAGGACCACCTTGGCAGTCCTGCCAAGAAACACGTCCTCCGGCCTTCAGATGCCTGCTGCCTCGCCAACACCTTACCTCCGGCCTCAGGAGGGATCCTAGGCCAGAACCACCCAGCTGTGCTGCTCTCGAATTCCTGACCCAAAGAAACCGTGTGTGGTAATACACGTTTACTGTGGGATGCCACCGAGCGCTAGGGTCATTTGCTACGCAGGAATAGATAATGTGGTGGCAAGTGGAAAAGACTCCGAAGAGTCAGAGTAAGCCCTGTGTCTATCTGTGGAAAGCGAGTCCTACGGTTGAGCCTGGGGACAGCGGGAGGCCTTTGTCAGGGGAGAGGCGAATGAAGAGAAGAGGAGTGGGAGCTGGCTAGGGAATACACGGGGTCGGGGGACACTGGGCCGTTCTGCAGCCGCTTACTCTGAGATGGGACACCCTTGGCAGAGATTCGAACAGAAGGTGACATTGATATGATTGTAGGGACGAGGGGGAACGGCGGGAACAGCTGGGCGGTTTCCCTGAAATCTGGGGAAAGCACAATGGTGGCTCGAGCCAGGGTGGTGGTGGGCAGCAGCTGGCCCTCTCCACCTGAAGGCTGAGCAGCGCGCCCTGCTAATGGGCACCAGGATGACCCCAGGGTGGAGACCTGAACGACTGGGGAATGGAGTCACCGTATTTCAGAGCACGGCTAGGCACTCCCACTCTGCTAGGACGAGCCAAGTGCCACCAAGCGCTGGATGTGGACGGCAGAGTCTCTGCAGAGACACTGCTTCCGGTCAGTAGGCAAGAGCAGGTGATTCTGGCACAGAGCCCGAGGGTGGGAGAGAGGAGCGTCCGGCAACCCCAGAGACAACAGGCCGAGGGCAGAAGGGGCACCAAGGAGCTGGTCAGCACTAACTGCCAGTGGCGTGTCGCCTGGGGAGAGCAGGAGGGGCTGGAGGATGCATGCGCCTTGAAGCTCAAGGAGGGACCTGGGACATGCAGGGCAGCTGGAAGGGGGCATGGCCTGGCAAGAACACAACA